TTAAAAAAAAAAAAGTATTTCGAAAGAACAGCTAGTATGCTGATGTCCTGCATCCTCAAGTTACTATGGGGTGTATTTATGCTAATATCCCTTTTTGTTATTGATTGTCACTATAAGATTGATTTGTAATTTATACTTATTTGGCAAGAGGTGTGTTAATGGAAGAACAGTTTTGTCAATTGTTTGGTTTTTGGTTTTGGTTTCTTTGTTTATTTTTGTTTGTTTGTTTTGTAACATGCTTGGCCATTTCGGTGTTGTAGCCATGCTCAGCTTTATATTCTGGATTTTGTATACATTATCCATTTTAAATATACTTCTTCGTGTGAATATGAAGTCTTACTGTTTTCACTTTTAGCTCCCTAACTCCTTGATTTCTTCACTGTAGTCTGAATTATTTCTGACTTCCTTTCAGTTTATTGTGTTCAGGTAAGTAATTACTTTTAGGTTTTTTAATAGAGTTTGTGATCCAACTCACTACACATTTGGGTAGAGTTTTAGTAGATGAATTTTGGGCTAAAGTGAATGCCATTTAACATCTAGTTTGTTTTCTCAGTTGCTTTAAAATAGCTGATTTTTTTTTTTCCTAGTGCATTCCCTTTTGGCCTGAAAATGATGCCAACAAACTGCTTGTTAGAGTTGAAAATTCTGATCTCCCCCCAAAGAAGATAAATTTTGATAAGCAAGAAAACTGTCTGCTACTGCATTTGGACAACAAGGTAAATGGTTGCCTTTGGAAACTAGGTAAAACAACATAAATAGCTGTTTCATTTGCATTCTCAAAACTTTCTGCCTTCCCATACAATCAAGTATTGCAAAACCTTAGCTGGGGAAAAGATTATGTATATGCAAGTGTATTATTCTCATGCTTTTTCTTTCCTGTATGTGCACACACAGGTATAAGTAGGTGTTTCGTTTTAAGCGCTTCTCTGCAAAGCAGATCTACAGAAGCTGAAATAGAGATTGTTTTGCTAGTGTTCTCTAGCTGAGGCTGAGAAGTATTTACATTAGTTCTAAAGTTACACTAAGTTACTTTGAAAAGTAACTTCGATTCCACTAAATGTACTTCTGTGTTGCATATAGTGTCATCTAGCAGTAGTTTTTTAAATATATGAGTGTTTTTAATAGTAGAATGTTTTGGAGGGCATTAATGCATATGAATGGTTCAAGGAAGATTCCTCTACTACCAGCCTAAATTTTGACAGTACAGAACTCCTCCATAGTTTTGATTACTAAGTGCAATGCCTGTTACCTAATAGTTAGATCAGGGAAATATTTTAAAGATATGTTAAAACAGGTTGTTTGTTTGACTATTTGGTGGTTTTATCTTATGAGAGTAAAAGTTTTCCAAAATATTTAAATTAATTTGCTTTACTAGAAATTCATTCCACTGTTATTTACTTTGTAATTTTTACATCTGGTAGCTTGGAGGAATTACAGTGGATGTTAACCTGACTGAACATTCTACAGTGATTACCTTTTCTAATTACCATGATGGCGCAGCTCCATTTCTGTTGATAAACCATACTAAAGAGGAAATTATTGAGTATGGACAAAGGTATGTAAGAAGAGTTTTAGTGTGGATGTCTGCATGGAGACATGTGAACTGTTATTTCATGTATTGTAAGCATGCCTATTTCTTAAGAAGCCTATTTTTCAAGGAGTGGCTGTCTAATTTTGTCAGAGCACCCAAAAATCTCATTTTATAAATAGAAGAGAATGAATTGTTAACAGAGCAGTGTTATGTAGTGGTAGATGCCTGTTCCTACATGTAAAGAAGCTTGTTTTGTGAGCTAAAGAAGCTCTCTGGTTTCTTTTTATATGAATTTTGTGGCTTTGCCCTCTACATTCCTTTACATTCCTGGTGGGGGCAAAGGATGTGTTTGGCTTTTATGGAACTGTGCAGGTGCTGACTGTGCACAATAAGTAACAAATGAGCTGTAAATGTAATTAGATTTGAGACTTTCACTGTTCTGTCATATTTAGTTGAGATTTAGCTGAAAGAATGGGTTAAAAAGTTACGGAGAGATGAGGGAATGGACTGAATAATGGGTAGGTAGTTACATAAACTTTGTCAAGCCAGACCAAAACTAAGATTATTTTAACAAATATGAATTATCTGCAATCAGTGAAAATTTGGTTCTGCACCTGCATGCAGCTATACTGGTTCTGTTCTCCAGCTGGAATGTCTTTGTAATGCTTTGCTACTGTATGCAGATACTGTGCAGTGCTAAGTGTAAGCATAGCTACAGCATTCTTGACCTGTTTCTTTTTAAAAGCTGAACAGCCTCTACCATTTTTTACTTTCAGTCAATCAAGGCAGTGTTGTTTAAAGATTTTTACTTGGAAAGTGGAAGAGCTGCTGGTCAAATTAAGCTTGCAGCTGTATGTTCCTGTTTGTCTGAAGAATACAGTCAATTCTTTGCTTTGTTTTTTATCTGTAAAGATTAGTAATTTTTATCTTTTTAGCTGGCTTTTGGGCATCCCTAGTGTAAGTTTAATAAGTATATATGGAACTCTTGTAATGAACTATGGAGAATAGAACAGAACACAATATTTCAGTTGGAAGGGACCTACAACGATTATCTAGTCCAACTGCCTGACCAATTCAGGGCTGACCAAAAGTTAAAGGATGTTATTAAGGGCATTGTCCAAACGTCTCTTAAACACTGACAGTCATGGGGCATCAACCACCTCTTTAGGAAGCCTGTTCCAGTGTTTGACCACCCTCTGGGTAAAGAAATGCTTCCTAATGTCCAGTCTAAACCTCCCCTGGCGCAGCTTTGGACCATTCCCACATGTCCTATTGCTGGATCCCTGGGAGAAGAGATCAGCACCTCCCTCTCCACTTCACCTCCTGGGGTAGGCTCCTTTCAGAGAGAGCTGTAGAAGACAAGTCTGCCAGTTTTTAACTGTATGTGAGGGGGAATGCAGTTTAAAATCTGTCTGAAAATATCCACCATATCCGGATACTAAACACTGCACTTTTTTTCCCTTCAGCAAATCATATAGGGCAAACCTTACCTAAACAACAGATTTTGAACGTACTTTTCTTCTCTTGGAGTATCAGTGTTAGGCAGCACAAATCCTGAATTTTCCTTTCAGCTCGTAAGCTCCACTGCCTGGTTTTTTTTCCTCTAATTAATGTTTCCCTGTTAATCACAAGTGGGGAAGAAAATGAGTATTTAAAATCTACTGTATATACTTTATTTCTAAAGTATACATATGTATTTTGAAGTATGAATACTATTTTTATTATTCTGCTGAGAATGATTTTGTGCATGTTTTTTCATGCACAATGTTATTTTAAGTTTTCAATTTCATTATTTGAAAAAATAATTAAAGTGTTCTTGTTGAAATGCTAGAATGCAAAAGTCATTGACACAAAACGTTCATTGACATTTTAATTTAATATTACTTTGTTCTAGCTCCCTCAGTGAATTGGAAGACTGTCTTCAGCCAAATAACGCAGTACTGTATACTTGGGCGGACCCAGCAGGATCTAGAAAATTGAAATGGAAATGTGGAAATAGAACTGAGGAAATTACCCCAAAAGAGGTACATTTATTATCTAAATCTCCTTTTAGTGCTGTCTAATTTATTATCCTGTTCATCAGTGTATGTATAAAATTCCCTATGTAATGAGTATGATCAGCAATCTCATATATGAGGTTCAAACACAGAGCAGTAACAACACTGTTTGCTGGACCTTGTGCCAATAAGCATTGTCTTCAGTTCAGAAGCGTGTGTGTGTGTGAGAGAGAGAGTGCTGTAAAATTTATAATTAAATTTTTTATTATTTTCCTGTACTTTTAAAAAATGTCTTCTATTGTTGTTCCTGTTGCTAAGACTTCTGCATTTGCTTTTGGAGTAGGATGATGAATAGAGTTGTAAAAGCTTTTCCTCTCTTTTTCGTAGGACAAAATGGAAATACTCAGCCTGGATTGTAGAAAAGTAGTCTATTTAGTGTCATTTTTTGAAGGTTTGCAGCGTATTGTCCTGATCACTGAAGATGAGAATGTATTTAAATTGACGTACGAAAGTGTAAAAGCAGAACTAGCAGAACAAGAAATTGTTCTGTCTTTGCAAGATGTTGGTATTTCGTTGGTTAATAATTATACAAAGCAAGAGGTGTCCTACATTGGAATTACAAGGTAACTTATTTGTGTGCAACAATCTGAAATATTTAACTACAGGTATTTTCACTCACTGAATTTCATTTTGGGGTGATGGAAGAGAAGCAAGAGGTGTCCTACATTGGAATTACAAGGTAACTTATTTGTGTGCAACAATCTGAAATATTTAACTACAGGTATTTTCACTCACTGAATTTCATTTTGGGGTGAGATGGAAGAGGAAAAAGAGGTCCGGATAAGCGTATTTAGAACTAAATCATTATGTTTTTCTGTTGTAAAGAGAAATGTTTGCACTGTGTTTTGTATTAATGCATATGCTTTCTGTATTTGGATGTACGTGTTTTTGCAAAACATAATTGTAAGTCTGTGTGGCAAACTTCCCAATACATTGAACAGAAGTATTTCCTGTCTGTGTAGTTTGGGGAGTGACAATAGAGTTTTAAGGAGTAAGGTCTGTGGGTCATTTGTCGGTGGATTTTTCTATCTTCATTACAGAAACAAGTTGCTGAATTGTGTTGAAAATTTTGATGCAGTAGCAGCTTGTAGTTCTTTTTAGTTTTGAATGAGAAATCATGGTGACTCCAAGGCTCTAATAGTTTAGGTTTTCTACTATAACATCTCCGAGGGAAGTAGAAAAGAAGCTATGTAATGCTTAAGAAATGTGTGCTATCATATATTCAAACAGAGGCTTTTTAGAATGCTGAAGGGACACTTGTATGTCATTGCCATAATCCACGCACTTCTGTATATTCGTATCATGAGGTTGCTAGAGTGAGGGTTTTTTCTCGTGATTGATTCTTTGTACCGCACTGCAAAACAAACAAGGAAAAACTTCACATACATGTATACTTCACGTATTCACATCTATCATTCACAAAGAAAATCCCAATCCTTGCCCTCACCTGAGAAACTGAGCTCCAGACAGTGGAAACACTCCATTAAAAGTGGCAGCTAATTGCCTAAATTCAAAGTAGTGTTGAGATTTCACCGAATCAGTGTTTTTCTGGAAGCAGTCATCCATAGTCAGTAGTCTAGAAGTACTTACAGTTGGTATTGTTTTTTTGTTAAACCCTGGGTGAACGTCACGCTCCTGGAAGCTCTTTCTGAGGATGAGAGATTATTCCTTGGGTACGGTGAAGAAAACCTTATTATTCAGAATGTTCCCTTTTGTGAATGTCTTGTTATAAAAAGAACGAAAAAGGCAGTTTGTATCTAACTTGATGCAGAAACAAGTTTCACCATGCCAGTTCTGGGATCACAGCACATGGAGGCAGGGGGGGAAGGGAAAGCTCCCAGCAATTTCAAGGTAGTACTCTTATTTTGTAGCTGTTGTTTTGCCCTTTAGCTCACCTTTTTTTTTTTTTTTGTGGTTCTGCCATTGACGTATCTCAACACAGACACAGATGTAGCTAAAAGGGATTGGATTAGGGGGCTGTGTCTGGAAAGCTATGTGTTTGTGGGCTATACAGTGACTTGTGAAAAGAAGAAACACCCTCCACCTGTCTGATAGTGTTGGTTTGTGCCTTCGGTTTGACTGTAAGGTGAAATCAGACACAAGAGCTTCTCACAGAAACAGTGGAATTAAGCAGAAAAGAATCCAGTGCCCTTTAAGGATGATTAATTATTTTGTTGGTTTATTAATAATAAAAGTAAGAGACAAAATAAAAGAACTGATTTTGGGATACCATTTAAAAAAAAAACAAACCACCAAAAACCCAAAACAAAACCAAAAACCCCCACCATAAAATTGGTAGAGGAAACGTAAAGCAAGATCACCATCTATTGATTTAGACAGAAAGAGTGAAGAAACTAGCTATCAAAAATAAGAGGCAGTTCAGGAGGCATTTCGTCTTGACTTGAAGTTGTTTTCAATTTCTAGTAAATTCAGCTATGCCAAAATACATGCAGGAGTATATGCAGAAAACTACATCGAGCTTGTAGAATAATGGATGGCAGTACTGTTGAAACTGAGCTTCCTGATTAAGTATCCTTACTTACCCATCTTCATCAAAGTGGGGAGTTATACAGACTTGCTGTTTGCTTTTTTGCATTATATTGGAGAGACTGGCTTCCCCTTAGTACCAAGAAGGCAGTGGGTGATTTGGGTCACTTTTATTTAATACAGTAGTACTTTATGATGTGGTTTCTCATTCCGTAGTTATAACCTATTAAAAACCATACTACAGTAGGTAAAACTTGTTTTGAAATAGCTAATCTTTCTCTCTTGGTCCTTTGTTTTCTTTTCAAAGTTCTGATGTGGTTTGGGAGACAAAACCCAAGAAGAAGTCAAGATGGAGACCAATGAGTGTTAAGCAGACTGATAAATTAGAACAAGAATTCAAAGATTACAGTGAGCTAACTCCTTCAGAGAACAAGATTATTCCATTGGAATCTAATGTTTTGGTAATACTGATAGTTCTCTAATTCTATTGTTTACATGTACACACAGGAAGAAGATAATGTATCAATTTTGCTATCTTTGAAGAAACTTCCAGTGAAAATTGAGATGATTGATTTACCTAATTCATTTTATAAGTTTAAAAGCTATCTTTACCATGTTAATGAACAGTGTAAATTTTAAAGTATATTATAAAAAGCAGTCTTTTGAAACACATAGCATACTGAATTTTCTTTAATAATACAATAGGTATGTTTAATACCTAACGGAATGAACATGAAAATTCAACAGCCAAATGAAATTCCTATCAGAAGGAATTATCTGCCAGCTTTAAAAGTAGAATACAGTTCATCTGCACATCAGAAGTCTTTCAGAATTCAAATTTACAGGATACAGGTGAGTATTGTCAAAAAATTGTGAGTTATTTATTAAGAAAAAGAAACTTTTATGGAAAATTGGATTTATTTTTAGAATTGTTTGGATTTGTCATGTTTTGAATTTAATTGTACTCATTGGCTTTTACATCAGTGCTTCTCAATCTTTGGAAATACTACTTAAATGCTTCTGAAAAAAAACCCAGACAACTATGACTGTTCAGGAAAAACATTTACTGTTCATCTTCTATGCTTTTTCATGTGGCTTTTCTTTACAACCAACAGAAAAATAGGTACAATTTGTTGTCTTGCATATGTTCAAGTTTTTAAAAACAAATCTTTTGCAAAAATTCTGTGGACCATTTATTGCCACCAACTTAGAGAAGCTTTTCTAGACTATTTAGATTGGATGTTTTCATTTTGAAAATAGAGATATTTTGAACGCCACTAGCAGCTTTTTTTTCTGCTTTTGGATTGGTGGAATGCTACAGGTAACGTTCATCATTCTTGTGTTTGTCCTGATTTTAAAATATTTCACTGTTGAAAAGCTAACGTGCTGTGCCTTGTCCTGTCCTTACCCCTATTAGATACAAAACCAGATTCCTGGAGCCATATTTCCCTTTGTGTTCTATCCTATTAAACCTCCAAAGTCCATCACCTTGGATTCAGGTTTGTTGTTCTAGTTTAACATAATCCTTACTTCTAAAATGACAAGATAACATGTTTCTATTGAAGTTAACCATGTCACTTTTATCGGATGAAGTCTTTATAAGCTTACTGACTACAGATAACACAATACTAATGTTACAGATAGGGAAGCAGTTTTCTCTACAAAGAAAATATACAAAAAACTATTTAAACAGTTAACTGTCAGAAGAAAAAATTTCTTTCATCCATCAACGGATATCATACCTTTTAAGCACATCTTTTTGACACGCTAATTCAGTGCTCTTGGAGAGCGTAATGTGAAAGTTACATTTGGATCAAGCTTAAAATGGGCTTTTGGCAGTTGCATTCAGACCACAACTAAAACTTAATGCTGACTAATATAGGAGAAGAGCTGCCTGCTGAAAATAAGAAGAGATTGAATTGTTGCTTATCTTGATGGTAGTGAATCTGTTGCACCGTTTCTGTATTACTTGCATTTGGAGTTCTGGGGCAATGAGAATTCACTTTTCATCTTTAGTCATCTGATTTTTCCCTACTGCCCCAAATAAATAGTTTATCTTAATCATGTTGTTTATTTTTTTTCTTTGCTTGCATGCAATAGATGACCTAGTGACCTATCTGAAATAATCTTAACTAATAAGAAAAGAAATGTGTGCCATTGCCAGTCTAAACTCAAAACTGCTATGTGAGGCACCATTTATATGCTCTGTAGGTGGCAAATTATATTTTGCCTGTTTTGTATGTAGCCTTCTGACTTCTCCATTGCTTGGAGCATAGAGCTCAATGTCAGTGTACTATGTGATGAACTGCAGTCTTCCGTTAACTCATTCAGGGCAAAGTCACTTGGAAGACCAGAGTAATCTCAGGAGGGATTCTAGATTGAGACAAAGAATACTGCTTGTAATTTTGTACAGAAGTGAATAAGATGTCAGGTGTTCGTTCTAAATTCGATCAATTTCAACCTAGAGTGCATAAATCTGTGGAATTCCTTTTTTTGTTTAGTTTATATTACTGTATTGGCCATTGGAAAATCTTATTCCATGACTAGGGAAATTATATGTCTATATATCAATATTAATTTGCTTTTAAATGAAAATGGTACATTTTCAGAGATCAGTGAAATAGAATTTTGATGTTCCATTTCATCCTTGTCTTCCTACTCCTTTCTGTTCCTGCTCTTTTCCCTGAATTAGTTGTTTGCCAGTCATATCCATTATGTAATCTTACTTTACAGGACTGAGAAAATCCTGAACATATGACATTTTTATATTAAAAATATAAAGGTATGTATATCATATAAAAATCCGTGCTCATCTCTTTTTATTTTATAACTTCATAGCACCAAAACCATTTACTGATGTCAGTATTGTCATGAGGACTGCAGGACATTCACAAATATCTCATATTAAGTAAGTATTTTGACATGTTCCATGTCTTATGCTATTGATTATGCTTAATCAATCTTTAAAATCAAAATTATTATGGGGCAAACATAATGCAAGATATAACTTTACACCAACTCATTCTCGGAAAGATCAGAGCGCTTAGAGAGATGAAAGCTCAGCCACCTTTATTATCCACATAATTGCAGAGTAAAGCAAGAATTTTTAAGTGTCTTTTTAATGCAGATTTTTAGTCTTCTTTTTAATTTAGAAAAAACTCTATGTTTAACAGTGCTATATACAGTGTTACATGTTGTTAATTGATTAAAATAGTTCTCATTACAGGAAATGTGTTTATCTTACACCACTATGCGAAGCCTTGTTTTCACCAGTAATGGCGAATCCCTGAAACAAACAAACAAAAAAAATCTGAAGTTAATACATAAGTGGCCTAAATACCCTTAATAATTGGTTTTTGTTTCATGTGTAGGTATTTTAAGGTCCTGATTCAAGAGATGGATCTCAGATTAGATCTTGGCTTCCTGTATGCACTGGTTGAATTCTTTACACAGGCTGATGTGCTGAGTGACCAAGAGGTAGAAACCTTTTGTTGTTTAAAGATGAATAGATTTTAAGTTTGTAATTATTCAACTTCTATTTTAAAAAAGAAAAAACAACTTGGTCTTCTGTGTCCATAACGCTGTTTAATTGCTGTGTCTGGGACGAATATGAAGCTGTGAGGTTTTTAAGAGTTACCGTTGCCTGAGGCAAACAGTAAACTCTTTCCTTTATCTTCATCTTGCATGCTATGCAAAGAAGGCTTCAAAACCTTCTGAAAAGAATGAAACTAATGCTGTTGTAGACTCTGGTCTTATTAATGCCTGAGAGACCAGTTAATTAAGAACCCAAGACAGGAAGTGAAAATAATACTCTTTTCCTTAATGTAGCTTATTTTAAAAAATTAAAAAAAAAAAAAGTTCTAGGATAATCTTGGCCAGGAAATCACTAAAACTTATCTGCCCATGAGAGCAAGAGAATGTAAAAGGAATGGAGAGAGAGGTTGATTAGAAAGTGAAAGTGTCTTCAGTAATTTTATGCAAAATTATAAAATTGGAAGATGATGTAGTTGACATGTTGATTCTAAGCGGAGAGGAGAGGGCAGTGGGAGGGAATTTAATTACTGTACAGGGAGAGTGAGAGGAGTTTGTACATAGGAACAGTAGAAGTAAAATAAAAAATAATAATATGAAGTGCAAGGCAGTCTGCTTGGGAAATAATATTGAAAACCTCAGATACAACCATGAAGCAGCAGAGAAGCCAGAGTTTCTTGGATTTGCCAAAGAAAACCAAAAAAGGTGATAAGCTGTATAGATACAATGCAGTTCTGATGTATATTGGGCATGCTGTCTTGTTAAGAGTATTGAAATTTGAATGTCAATACACGATGAACTGATAATAAATTATTTAGCAGAAAGGGTATTAGTTTTGTCTGTAGCTCAAAAATGCTGCTAGTGAAAACCGCACCAGAAATATTTGCATAAAAAATCTGCCTGGGTGAGTAGAGCAAAAAGGTCCTTTTTGATGGGGCCTTAAAAGGTATTGTCTTACTGTGGTAAGTGAAAGGTATGCTGGAAAAGCAACTTACTTTGCTTTTATTTCCCCATATCTACACATCAGAGATTAAAAAAGTATTACTGCTCAGGGATTAAACTAAAATAAGGTGAAAAGATTAAAAAGTTGCTCCAGTGTAAATACAAATTGAAAATTAGAAGGAAGTGTGGAACAACGAGAGAATTAATTTCTGGAATAACATTTCAAGCAAGATAGGAGTCATGTTAGAATTTTGTCAGTTTACAGCAGAATAAATTAATGTAAGAATTGTCTGTTATGGGTTGTAGTTCAGTAGATATTTTCATCTAAATAAATTTGCTACTCTTGCATGGTATAATGTATTAAATATACCCTCAGTTTCCTACCTTTTGTTTCTTAAGCATATGGAGTTCTTTGTTTTGTATTTTAAAAAGAAGATTCTGACCTTGGTGCTTGTAGCTTGTTTTCTGGCCTGTGATAAAGGAAAACTAAATGTACTGTCCAGTTCACAGAATGCTTATGTGGTTACCTTGAGTTTGGGGTTATCAGGCATGAAGATATAGTTGAGTCTTCCTAGTTCTGTCTGTCTTTCCAGTTGCTGTAACTTGGAGTCTGTGGGTTCTTTGCAGAGCTGTAGTGGTACCACAATTTTGGAAATACTCACAAAATATATTAGTTGCTTATTGACTAAGGAACTCTTGTCTGTTGGTGGTAATGTAAATTTTAAGTAAAGTTTTAACTTAAAGAATGGGATCCTCTCTGGTGAGAGGCACCTTTCTCTAAATCAAGACCTAAGCATGTATTTCTATATAGTCTTTTCTTATTATATTATAAACTCTTGAAGCAAAACTGAGTAATGTAATTTTTTTAAAGGTTGGATGAGTCCAGTTTTGTTAAACATCATAAGCTTGCTTAAACATCTTTAAAAATATAAATAGTAAGAATGAGCAGTCTGATTGTTACTTATGAAATATGAGGAAATTTGAAGCGTTCCTTAAACAAAGCAGACATTTAATGAACATTAATAATGTCACTTTAGGGTTGTTTCAGAAATGTTCCTGTATTTTCGTATGTGGGAATATGTAGTCTGAACTGGTGGTTCCCAGCAGTGTGCTAGGGCATACAGTCTGTTCATCTGTTGATACCAGGTGTACCTGTGAATTGTAGATTACTGTGGTAGTTTGAAGAATTATGTTAATTTTCAATGCATGGTTGTGTAGTGGAAAAAATACATTGTTGTATTTTATTCTCTTTCCCCTCCCAGTGGAAAGAGGAATGATTTGAGATCAGCATTGTGAGCTGAATCACTGAATCCAAAGATTAGAGGAGGCCCTCTTCTGCACTTTCATTTTTAGTGGAATTGCAAGGCATAATTTTAGGATATGATCCCTACTTAATATTTAGTGCCTTGACTGTTTTGCTTGTTTAAGTAGCAAGGTGGTATCTGGGTTTACAGTTCTGAAAGGATCTCTCGCCTTATTTTCAGTTACAACTTCATTTTCTTTGACTGATTAAGTCTTTTCTGACTATAACTTTAGAATTGTTATTATTTAAAAATCTTAAAATGTTTTTTGTACTTGGCCAATTCTTCAAAAACTGTTGTAAAGGAGCTCCATCTTTTGAAGGAGAAAAGCAAAAAGGACTAGCTAGATGGAGGTCTCCTCAGAGTATGTAAAAGTCTAGTTTCTATATAACAGAAAATAGTCTTTAGTCTAGTTTTTTGTTTTTAAAAACCTATGCGCTGTATTGTGTGTTCAGAAGGGTATATATGTATGCCCGTTGTTTGACTCAGGTAAAAACTGTCCAAACCTTACTTGAAAATATTTGGTATTTGAACTTTCATAAAAATAGATATTATTAAAAATAGATGTATGTTGGATTGTCTTTTTATACATATGTTTCCTCCTCTTCATACAAAAAAGTCAGCAAACAACTTTAAAATAGATGTATGTTGGATTGTCTTTTTATACATATGTTTCCTCCTCTTCATACAAAAAAAAGTCAGCAAACAACTCTAGTTAAAAGTCCTTGAAAATGTCAACTTTTTAAGTCAAAAAATAAGATCAGGAGAGTATAAGTAGTATTAGTCAATGTATTGCATCTCAGTGACAAATGCATGGTAGTTTTATATACTCTAAATTTTAAAGTGATATTTTTTTGAAAATGTATTCACAGCTAGAACTTTTCAAAAAGGATGTTGAATCTCTTCAAGAAGAACTGATGAGTGTGTCATCAATGGATACATCACAAATCAGCTTGTATGAATACTTTCATATCTCTCCAATTAAGGTATACCTTTTTCACAGTACAGCCTGTGTTTGCTCTCTAACTGAAGAATTTTGTCTCCTGCAGGATAGTAGGCACTGGAAATGAAGAAACATAGAGGTGATCAAAAATAAAATAAAAATGTCCTGGAAAAGTGCTTTCATTCTTACCACTAACATTAACGTTTATTAAATATTTACATTAAAAGTTCATTATTTCACTCCTATCCATTACTTTCTTCATATACAGTAATTCTTTTTCTTTCTACTATTTAAAAGATCCTTGCAAAATGCTATAGTTTGTGTGCTGACAGTGTGTTGTGGATTGGGGAATGAGATCATTTCTAAAAAACATATACAGCCAGCATTACTGTGCAATGACATTTTCTGCTTTATCGTTACTCACTGGAAAAGCAGTTCTGTTTTTTGACTCCAGTAAAGTCTACTTTTGGCTGTCTCCCCATTCCCATAAACATTCAGGCACAACTGTTGAATAGTATGTGCATACTTATATGGAAACAACAGCCCAAATATAACTCATGTGCGTTTTTAACTTACTGGTCTTCGTTTTTTGATTATTGCGTAGCTGATGTTGTTAAAGCTATGATGGTACTTTGTAGGCTCTATGACAGCTCTTAATAAGAGAATCTCCCCTCCATCCCATGGGAAATAGATCAAAGAACGGTTTGAGTTTCATCTCTTTACAGTATCTGATGAGATGTTAGAAATGGTTTGCTATTAGAACAGGTAATTCTAGGAAATGCTTGGCTAGCTTTATGTAAACAGCTTAGCCTAACTCATTCCAAGTATATTTAGTAGCTCTTTCAGTGTGTCTTCATTTAGATGTTCATAGGTATGTCTCCAGTTGTTTTATTACAAAAACTGCTCAGGACTTGACAAAAGTAAAATGTCCTTTACATGTTAAGATAACAAAGTGAACACTTTGTAACAAAGTAAACAAAAGCTTTTTTTTTTTTTTTAATGTATTCTGTCATATTTGACAAGAAAAATTACATGGAGGAAATAGGATGGAATAAATGGGCTTCAGGTTCTAATAAAACATTAGTCTTCAACAGTTACGAAGTTGATATAGAGCTGTGAATTGTGACAATGATTGTGCAAGACGAGCTATGTATCTTTGAAACGAGCTATAGTTAAGCTCTGTTACACCGTAAATTAATGAATGGCACATGGTGTTGTCTTCAGAGAATCAGAAACAGGTGTAACTTCTTTTCATCTGATTTTGAAAACTGCTGAATACACTTGTGCACTATAGAGCCCTTTGAGCAATTTTCCTGAATGTTTTTCTGTTTTGAGACTGTCACCTTAATTTCTGGGAAACAAATACTTTGATTAATTCAGGTCTGCACAGGTGGGGTTTTTCTTGTATACATATTCCAGTGTTTATTTAGCACCTGTAAAACTTGTGTTAATAATTACTTGTTTTCAGGCTTTCATTTCTCATTCTTGCTTGGACACCATGCTGTGTTATCATTTTCAGTTTGCTTTGATTTTGGGCATTAGTTATAGAAACAAAATGTTTTGGAAACAAGCTAATAACCTAAATTATAGCTAAAAGATTCTGGAGACCTTATCTGAAAACATGAGTAAATAATTTCAAGTTCTTGTTTTCTTAAAGGTAGTTCCAGTTATTCAGTTTGACTTTAAATGTTAGTGGTTTTTTATTGCCCTATGTGGTGTATTTATGTTCTCCATTATGAAGTCAGTCTGATTTCAGTCAAGATTAGAAATGTCTTACCTCAATTTTTAAATCATGTAAAAGATTATAATGATAGAAATATAATACTTCTAATAACCAACCATGTTATTTCCCAATCTCATTTTTATCCTTTAGTTACACTTAAGCTTTTCACTCAGTACGGGTGGAGAAGATAGTAACAAAGAAGAAAGAAAGAATGAACTGATACCACTTCAGTCCCTGAATCTCCTGCTGAAGAGTATAGGGGCCACCCTCACAGATGTACAAGATGTTGTCTTTAAGTAGGTTAAAAATATGATTGTAAAGATTACTTCCAAAGATTAAACCGATATTACATATGTTAGATTTTATTTTGCTCTTACTTTTTCTCTTTTCTTTTTTTTTTTAGGTTGGCATTCTTTGAACTCAGCTATCACTTCTGTACTACACAACAGCTCCAATCAGCAGTTGTAAGGCATTATTCAAAACAGGTTAGAATAAGTAAATTTCAGTATTTCAGTAAATTTATACTTTGAAAGCGCTACTGTGTGCTTTGGTTCTATGAAAATAAATAAGATTACTGTCAGCCTTGTAGGTTTGTACAAAGGTTATTTTGCCTTTATTTCGGGGGCAAGTGCTGTTTCCAAATTATGACTAGAGGAAAAGTGGCATGGATAACAAAACAACTTGCTGGAATGGACAGTGGAAGCAAACACAGTGCGGCTCTGATAGAGCAGAATTGGCATAAAAATATTAATGCTTTTTCTTGGACATTAGTAGTATATGAATTACGATCCCTTTTTGGCCTTTGTGTACTGTTCAAGTCCTGTCATCCAGTGGAGAGAATCCCAGCAGACACGCTTTTGCATAAAAGTATTAGTCCTCTTCTGTCAATCCATCACTAATAATAAGGGATTCTTTGGACATGTTAACTTAGTGCTCTGTCCATCTTTAAAGGAGAGAAAACCTATACAGGGTTTTAATTGGGGAACGAGTTATCTGTTGTTCTCCTTCCTTTTCCCAGAGGGAAAATTTGAAATCTCCTAGCAGATGCTCAACCTTTTTTTAAAATTTAATTACACTTCATATAGATGTAGTTACAATGTTTTGCAGTGACAATCAACAAAATTTTCTCAGCATATGCACAGACCAAATTTTGTCCTGTAGTATGAAAGAAATCTAGGTAATATGCTTGCTTTGTAAAATCTCAAGAACATTAATGTCAGTTATTTGTGAAATGCCCATAATAAGTAATGTTTATTTGGCTGACTTAATATGACTTACTCACTATAAGATTCTTTTTAATACAACTACTTCTACTACTACTTTTCCAAATAATTTTGAGGTTTTTTATATCAAACTCATGTTGCTTTCACTTTTTTTTTAATCTGGGTCTACTACACTGTTTGCCTTTTGTTTTAGTGTAATTTCTGAATATTTTTACTAATAAGTATTTTTATTTTAGGCTATTAAACAGATGTATGTTCTTATTCTTGGCCTTGATGTCTTGGGTAATCCATTTGGATTCATAAGAGGCTTGTCTGAAGGAGTAGAAGCATTCTTCTATGAACCTTACCAGGTAAAAATCTCTGCTGCCTTCTTTTGAAATGTAGCACAAGTAGATAGGTATGAATGATATCGAAAATGTGGATATATCAATTCCTTTTTTGGTTTTAAATTTAGATTTAGAATTGAAAGTTTAAAGTGAAAGTGCCAGGAAAAGTTACTGGGAAACTCAAGTGAGATAAAAAGGAGAGAGTAGTCCATTTAACTTAATTCACAAAAGACTGTTCCTTATGGTTCTTATTTTAAAATAAATCTGCTTTTTTCCCATTTGCCTTAAAATAAGCAGACTTCAGGGAATGAATTAGTATTCTAAAATAGTCTGTCTTTCTCTCACAGGTGCTCTTGTCGGCACTTTCACACTTTCTCACTTGGTCTCACGCTCTTGCTCTCTTTGTTATAGATAAATGCCAATAAAAATGTAAGATGTAAAAATATGTAATGCATACTATTTGAAGCTTAACATAAACACATCCTTTCTTTTCTTAGGGAGCCATCCAGGGTCCTGAAGAATTTATAGAAGGAATGGCACTAGGACTTAAAGCACTAGTAGGGGGAGCTGTTGGTAAGTTTCAGTGTTATCATGGTAGTATACTTAATAGTAAGCAACATAGGCGAGTATTTGTAAGTTGTATTGGCATTTTATTTTGTTTTATTTTCCAATAGGTGGATTAGCTGGTGCTGCATCGAGAATCACTGGTGCTATGGCAAAAGGAGTAGCTGCGATAACTATGGATGAGGATTACCAGCAGAAAAGGAGAGAAGCCATGAATAAACAGCCCACTGGTCTGAGAGAGGGTATCACTCGTGGCGGAAAAGGATTAGTTTCTGTAAGGAGAAAAAAAATTATAAAAAGATTAATGGATTTTATGCAGGCAAGAATAACAAATATAGAGGCTGCCGTAGTCACCAGAGAGTTGTTACTCTTTATTTTAATTCTGGTTTTGCAAATATATGGCCACAATTGAGTGATAATTTTAAAGAAAAATATATGAGGGTAGAAGAGAAGGTAGGAACTGTGAAGCAGGTGCCTCTCGTTCTGTTAACTTGTAGTGAATTTTCGAATACGCAACACGTACTTTGAGGCTATTCACTAATGAAGTAGTAAGAAAAATGTAAAAAATGAAAAATACAGTCTGAAAGTGTATTTGTAATGTCTCTTGTTTCTCTTCGTAGGGTTTTGTCAGTGGCATAACAGGAATAGTTACAAAACCAATAAGAGGTAAGTTTAGGTCTTCTGACACATTAACTGTTCATATGATGGTAAATTCTTGATATTTGATAAGATATTATAAATCTGAGTTATAAAACTTTTTATAAAGATTTTATATTCCTACTGAATTTTAGGTTAAATGTTGTTTACATGAACTTTGTGTGGAGACTACATAATTGCGTATCAAAAAAGATTTGTGATTAAATGGTAATTAAGTTTGCTAAGACTGTAAGAAAAACTTAAAGTGTTTTATAATGATTTGCTGCACTTAATCCTTTTAGGAGCTCAGAAAGAAGGAGCAGCTGGTTTTTTCAAAGGTGTTGGAAAAGGCTTAGTGGGAGCAGTAGCTAGGCCTACTGGAGGAATCATAGACATGGCAAGCAGCACATTTCAGGGTATTAAAAAGTAAGTAAAATAAGTTTGAAGAATGACATATGGCATGAAACAGACAATAGTAGTAGCAGTAGTACATTGTGTCTTTGTATCACTTCTGCATCAATGTTTCTGGATCTCTCAACTTCATCATTACTTCAGATGAGCTAGAAAAAAATCTTATCCATATTGTTACTTATATAATAAATAGGTGGCTCTTTAAAAAATACACAGTTGATAGCATTTAAAAAACAGAACATCAAATCTCAGGTATTTCTAGCATTACCAAAGAAACTAGTTTAAAAACCTCAGTGATCAGACTTCCTTCAATTGCTGATTTTTTTCCTTTTATCCTAAGTATACAGGAACAAAAGACTTCTCAGCTGCATCAAAAATTACTTTTTATATTGTTACTACTCTATGAGATGAGTTCCAAGACTACCACATCATGCCAGGATCTGTCCTGGTTGTTCAGACAAACACAGAAAGTGTTTTGAGGGGGCATTTAGTGGCTTTGTCTGAACCCAGCTGTTTAATGGTCCTATTCTTCTTAGCGAGCTGGACCACATTTGCTGCCGTAAGATTGCCACTCTCTTTTGGTTTTCCACTTTAAGTTCTTCAGCAGAGAAATGCAAGAAAAATATCAGAGCAGAAGTTCTGTATGGCACAGATGTCTTTAATTTTGAAGTTTTGAAGTACAATACTTAGACACTAATTAAGTATTGCAGGCGTGTACTGCCCTATGCAATCTAATTTTCTAATAATCATTCTCTGAAATAGATTTCTGAGTAAAATCTATTACTGTTTCATAAAATATCTACTCAGTGTCTATTGACACTGAGTGGTGAGGCCGCACCTCAAATACTGTGTTCAGTTTTGGGCCCCTCACTACAAGAAGGACATTGAGGTGCTGGAGTGTGTCAGAGAAGGGGCAACGAGGCTGGTGAAGGGTCTGGAGAACAAGT